AAAAAAATATAAGTTATTTTCCTTTAAAATGACTTAATTTTCCTTTTACCAGAAAAATATTTTCTGTTGACTCATTTTCCTGAATGCAAAAAATAACGAAAAATTGTGAAAAATATTTTCCTGCGAGTCATTTTATGGAAACAAGCCTTATAATACAAACAAATAGACATTAGGTAGATATTTGTTAATGAACTTTTAAACCTTAAAAATAAATAAATAAATATATATATGTCAATGTTAGGTAAGTCTGGCTATGGAGGAAGGTCGAGTAAGCATTAAATCATAGAGAAAACAGCAAATATTTCTAAAGAAGTATTGCTTTCATAACATAGATGACGTTAAAATTTGAGGAGCACATTTCAACTTTCATCCAAACTCTAAATATTTATTTGATAATTTATAATACAGACCTTAACAATATTGGATAGTAGTTGACCTTAAAATCTTAGCAACTATTTATATTATTATAAATATCAGAATAAGGGAACAACAGAATTTTCGATAATTTCTTTAAAGATTCACTCAGTATGCAAAAACAATATTTATATTTATTATTTTTAATCTATTGGGTAGAGTGCTTTTATAATTTTTTAATTCATAGAAAGTTGGATTGATATTTTTTTTTGTGGATTGATATTTTTTTGTAGCAAAAGAACTAAATAGAATTAAAAAAAAAAGAGAGAAAATGGAATATGAATATGAGAGAAAATGGAATATGAATATGTTATTTTTATCATATTAATTTATTTTTCAATGAAACTAAATTAGTGTTTGATATAGTTATTGTATTATTGTATTATTAAGCAAATTGATGTAGTTATTTGTAAATAAAATATAATAAATAATCAATAAGATAAAATTTAAAATAACTTTAAAAATAAAAACAAAATATCTGTAACTAGTTTTAAAACAATACACTATTATTTTCTAAGAATTCACAATATTATTAGTAAAAATATGGATATAAATTTGGTGTTGTCATTGTTGTGAGAGTTGTAACCTAATACCATTCTAATACAGGCATAGGCAGATAATATTCTGAAAGAAAAAAAAAAATTCTCTAAGTCTTTGTCTACTTATTTTTATTTATTAGTAGATAATGTAAATTTGTGAGCTAATGGCTCTCTCATTGACTCAGCCTTTGTTTGTGTGTGTGTGTGTGTATATATATATATATATATATATATTATCCCACTTCTTGAAGTCATAGGTATAACCTATACTAATTATTCCAAATTTTAATTTGAGATAATCTAAGAAACATTTTGGACAAATGGAAAGAGTGGAGGAGGTAGTGGATGGAACAGTGAATGAATGGATTGGTGGAGAAAGAGAGAGCTTCAGAAATTCAACTCATAATTTCTAAATTTCCAAAAATATACTTATAAATAAAAATAGCTATAAGCTCTATACACGAGTGTATATATATATAAGAATCTGCTAAACAAATTTAATCTACTTCTTTTTACTTTTCTGTCTTATTCATTAATTGTTTTTATTTATTTTCAAGGATGACAAATGAACTCAAGGTATGTTGTAGGAAATACAATAATAATATATTTATATATAATTCTTATTAATTTTGTTCAAAAGATTTATATAGCATAACACAGTTTAAAGCTTAGTTATTATTTGTGTTATGTTTTATTTATTTATAATATAATAAATAAGTGTTTTTTTTTTTGAAGGAAAACTCCTTTCCTAAATTTTTTGCAAAAATATTTTAAAATCTTTTCAATTATATACTTTACCTTTTTGTAAAATGGAGAGCCAAATTCAAGAGACTACTTCACTTAAATTGCTTCATTCAACAAAATAGATACAACAACAAAGAATGAATCTTTTCATGAATTATTCTCTATAAGTACTTTTTTTAACTTATCGATCTTTTGATCTTATAGAAATTGTTTGCTTGACTTAAGTATATCGTATCACTTTGGTCACTTTCTATGGACCAAATAATATTTTTTAATTAATCAAATGATGATAAAAATTTTAAAATTTCATACCTATAAAAGAGCCAATAAATTGAGTTTAGATAATTCATTCTCTTATGCTGCATTTGTTTCCGTAAAACAACTTGCTGAAAAATATTTTTAATATTTCTAAATGACTTATTTTTCCATTGTTTGGTTGTAATATTGAGAATTAGTTAAAAATATTAAATTTTTTATATCATAAGACCATAAAAATATTAATAATAATAGAAATAGAAATTTTGTAATTTATAAATTTTATTGTTAAATATGGAAGAATGCAAAAGAATATATAAATTATGAAAGTCGCCGATGGCCGGTGCTGGTGGCTGCCGGTGGCTAGTGGTTGGTGGTCGGTGGTAAATGATGATTAGTTATAGTGATTACGATGATTAATAAATTAAAAAATATGGATGTATAAAAATATGGATGTATAAAGTTTTTTAATGTCCGAAAAATGTTTTATTCTGTCGAAAATGAGAAGTTATTTTCCTTAAAAAATGACTTAATTTTTTTTTATCAGAAAAATATTTTCTGTTGAATTATTTTTCTAAATGCCCCAAACAACGAAAAATTGTAAAAAATATTTTCCTACGGGTTATTTTACGGAAGCAAGCCTTATAATACAAACAAATAGGCATTAGGTAGATATTTGTTAATGAACTTTTAAACCTTAACAATAAATAAAAAATAAAGGACTTGATTAATATATATATATATCAATGTTAGGTAAGTTTGGCTTATATATACACACACACAAACAAAGGCTGAGTCAGTGAGAGAGCCATTAGCCCCTAAATATATATTATCTACAAATAAATAAAAATAAGTAGACGAAGACTTTGAGAAGACTTAGAGTGGTATTAAGTTATTCTCAAAGTCTTTGTCTACTTATTCTCAAAGACTTTGGGATGCCACTAAACTTTTCTTATAATATTATTTAAGTGGAAATTTTTGCATTTATCCATATTGAAAATATGCAAGTTTAATATAAGATTTAAATGATTTTACAAATTGTAAAATAAGCAAATTATTCTTATGTTGATTGAATAAATTATTATTGACTAAATTAATTATATTTTTATTAGGTCTCTGCATAATTAATATTCATAGCTGAATAGTGATTGCTGATAACTGGTGGTTGTGCACTGATGGTGGTTAATTATAATAAATGGTGTTTGGACAATAACAATGCTCTTAGAATGTAAAATAATCATTAAGTTTATATTTGTTTTATGGTATTTTATGGTATTATAATATATATATTTTTAAATTTTATATATATTTTTTTCAATGTCTAACATATTTTATTTTATCCTTCTAGATTAGTTATTCAACAATTTCCAAAGTCTTTTTCAAAAAAAAAAAAAAAAAAATCTGTAAGTTCTTCGTCACTTATTTTTATTATTATAGATTCATTTTTTATTTATCATAGATCAGTATATTTATAATTATTTATTCATAGATCATATATTTATAGGCTGATGGCTCTCTCATTGACTCAAGACTTTGTGTTTATATATATCAAAGAACTGCACACCACCGCATAGTCTAATGAGGAGTACATATACAGCTTAACAATAGGTTCAAGTTCGAATCCCCCTCCCTAATATTCAAAAAAGAAAAAAAAACAAAAAAAACATTGAAGTTAATCCATTAAACTTTTAAATCATTAAAACTATATTTCAATTTATAACATTGCATCTAATAAATTAATTTTACACAACTTATTAATTATTTGATATATATATATGAAATTTCATGAATCTTTTGCGATAAATTATTGAATAATAATTTATATATTTTTTATATCTCGCACATTCTCACTTGCTCAGTAAGTATATTTAAAAAAAAATTTGAGTCAATAAGTGCAATTTTAATTATAAGTTAAAATATCCAATAATTATAATTTTACAAATTTAAGGATTGAATACATCAATAACTACTAAACTTTTCTTATAATGTTTAGATAATAATTTATGCATTTGTCCATATTGAAAATATGTGAGTTCAATAAAAGATTTTTTTTTTTTTCCTCTTCAACTCGTAGGCAAGAAATTTTTCCAACATAATGATATACGGATGGCATGTACCGTAGGATTTGAAATAAAAAGTTATAAGTTTGGATTAAAAAAAAAAAAATTTCTTTTGCAATAAAAAATTAGAAATATTTCAACTGAGGAATATGCATGGCCACGTCTTGACAGAGATATGGCTGTATTGTTTGAATTTTGTTTAATTTAAACATTGTTTGAATTTTGTTTAATTTAAACCAAATGGCCTCCATTTTTATAGAATTGTTAATAGAATTATTTTTATTTTGTTTAACTGTCATCAAACCACTTGCAACGAATAAGATAATAATTTTCCAAGTCACGTTTCATCTCCTAGATGTCTATATAAAGACGCAGAAGTCTTTGGTTTGCACATCAAATGAGAAACACCAAACCATTTAACAAAAACATTCCAAGTTCTCTCCCAAAGAAACCATGGCGGACAACCAATCAAACCAAACACAGCAACTGACTTTACAACCAACATGTCCTATCAGTCTGAACCCTTGTGTACAGATAATATACATTTCTCCTCCTTGTTGCTTGAACCAACAATGCGGGAATCAGCCTGTGCGAGATGTCCAAGAAAACCAATTGATGAATACTCAAGGAGGTAATTCCCAAGAAATATACAATCAACAAGGATCGAGATTAGGGGATCCACCATCTGGAAATACCCACGGAAAAAATAACCAAAACTGTCGGTCGGTAAACTTTCAGAATGGGAGCATACCATCATTCGGACCTCAAAACGGAATCTTAACAATAGGTTATTGTCCAATGCCAAATATTCATTATGGATATTGTCAAAATGGGAATAACCAATTATCATCACATGGGAACCATTCAACATTACCTCAATTAGGAAGTGCAACGTCATGCATGTGTCAAAATTGCCCACATCATGACCTTATCATTAGGATTCACAACGGAGTTATTTATCCACTAGGTGGCATTATTCAACGATGGAATGGACAAGGCGGTGATGCTAACCAGGAAGCAAATATGCAAGGCGGACCAGGCATTAAATATGCAAGGCGGACCAGGCATTAATACCCACGGAAGAAACACTCAAGGCGGCGGAGCTGACAATACACAAGGAGGAAACACTCAAGGCGGAGATGGAGGTAATACCCAGGGTGGAAACAGTCAAGGCGGAGATGGAAGTAATACAGCTGGTGGAAACACTCAAGGTGGCGGAGTTGGTAACACCCAAGGAGGAAACACTCAAGGCGGAGATGGAGGTAATATCCGAGGTGGAAACACTCAAGGCGGAGATAGAGGTAATACAATAGCTGGAAATACTCAAGGTGGAACAGGTGGCAATACCATAGGTGGAAACACTCAAGGCGGAGATGGAGGTAATACCCAGGGTGGAAACACTCAAGTGGAAGTAATACAATTTGGTGGAAAACACTCAGGGGCGGGTTGGCAACACCCAAGGGAGAAAAACACTCAAGGCGGAGATGGAAGGTAATACCCAACGGTGGAACCACTTCAAGGCGGAGATGGACGGTAATACAATTAGATTGGAAATACTTCAAAGTGGAACAGGGGGCAATACCATAGGTTGGAAACACTCAAGGCGGAGATGGGAGGTAATACCCAGGAGGTAATACCCAGGGTGGAAACACTCAAAGCGGAGATGGAAGTAATACAATTGGTGGAAACACTCAAGGTGGCGGAGTTGGCAACACCCAAGGAGGAAACACTCAAGGTGGAGATGGAGGAAATACCCAATGTGGAAACACTCAAGGCGGAGATAGAGGTAACACAATAGGTGGAAATACTGAAGGTGGAACAGGGGGCAATGTCATAGGTGGAAACACTCAAGGCGGAGATGGAGGCAATACCATAGGTGGAAACACTCAAGGCGGCGGAGTTGGCAATACCCAAGGAGGAAACACTCAAGACTCAAGGCGGGAGATGGAGGGAATAACCCAAGTGGAAATACTCAAGGGCGGAGATGCAGGGAAAATACAATAGGTGGGTGGAAACACTCAAGGTGGCGGAGTTGGCAACACCCAAGGAGGAAACACTCAAGGCGGAAATGGAGGTAATACCATAGGTGGAAATACTCAAGGTGGAACGGGGGGTAATACTATTGGGGGTAACACTCAAAGCGGAGATAGAGGTAATACCATAGGTGGAAACACTCAAGCCGGCGGAGTTGGCAACACCCAAGGAGGAAACACTCAAGGCGGAGATCGAGGTAATACCCAAGGTGGAAACACTCAAGGCGGAGATAGAGGTAATACAATAGGTGGAAATACTCAAGGTGGAACAGGGGGCAATACCATAGGTAGGTGGAAACACTCAAGGCGGAGATTGGAGGCAATACCATAGGTGGAAACACTCAGCGGCGAAGTTTGGCAATACCCAAGGAGGAGACCACTCAAGGCGGAGATGGAGGGGAATAACCCAAGGTGGGAAACACTCAAGGTTGGAGATGCAAGGTAATACAATAGGTGGAAACACTCAAGGATGGCGGAGTTGGCAACACCAAGGAGGAAACACTCAAGGCGGAGATGAAGGTAATTACCATAGGTGAAATAACTCTAAGGTGGAACAGCGGTAATTAACCATTTGGGGGTAACACTCAAGGCGGAGATAGAGGTATACCATTAGGGGAAACACTTTCAAGCCGGCGGAGTTTGGCAACACCCAAGAGGAAACACTCAAGGTGGAGATTGGAGGTAATACCCAGGTTGGAAAAAAACACTCAAGGGGAGACAGAGTTAATTACAATAGGTTGGAAATACTCAAGGGAACAGGGGGCAATGCCATAGGTGGAAACACTTCAAGGCGGAGGATGGAGGCAATACCATAGGTGGAAACACTCAAGGCGGAGGATAGAGGCAATACCATGGTGGAAACACTCAGGCGGCGCGAGTTGGGCAATACCAAAGGAGGAAAACACTCAAGGCGGAGATAGGGGAAAATGGAGGTAATTCAATAGGTGGAAATACTCGAGGTGGAAGAGGAGGCAATACCATAGGTGGAAACACTGAAGGCGGAGATGGAGGTAATACCATAGGTGGAAACACCCAAGGCAGAGATGGAGGTAATTCAATAGGTGGAAATACTCAAGGTGGAAGAGGGAGCAATACCATAGGTGGAAACACTCAAGGTGGAGATGGAGGTAATACTATAGGAAACACTCAAGCCGGCGGAGTTGGCAACACCCAAGGAGGAAACACTCAAGGTGGAGATGGAGGTAATACCCAAGGTGGAAACACTCAAGGTGGAGATAGAGGTTATACAATAGGTGGAAATACTCAAGGTGGAACAGAGGGCAATGCCATAGGTGGAAACACTCAAGGCGGAGATGGAGGCAATACCATAGGCGGAAACACTCATGGCGGCAGAGTTGGCAATACCCAAGGAGGAAACACTCAAGGCGGAGATGGAGGAAACACTCAAGGCGGCGGAGTTGGCAATACACAAGGAGGAAACACTCAAGGCGGAGATGGAGGGAATACCCAAGGTGGAAACACTCAAGGCGGAGATAGAGGTAATGCAATAGGTGGAAATACTCAAGGTGGAACTGGGGGCAATGCCATAGGTGGAAACACTCAAGGCGGAGATAGTGATAATACGATAGGTGGAAACACTCAAGGCGGTGGAATTGGCAACACTCAAGGAGGAAATACTCAAGGTGGAATAGGGGGCAATACCATAGGTGGAAACACTCAAAGCGAAGATAGAGGCAATACCATAGGTGGAAACATTCAAGGCGGCAGAGTTGGCAATACCCAAGGAGGAAACACTCAAGGCGAAGATGGAGGGAATACCCAAGGTGGAAACACTCAAGGTGGAAATGGAGGTAATACAATAGATGGAAACACTCAAGGTGGCCTCAAGGCGGAGATAGAGGTAATACAATAGGTGGAAATACTCAAGGTGGAACAGAGGGCAATGCCATAGGTGGAAACACTCAAGGCAGAGATGGAGGCAATACCATAGGTGGAAACACTCAAGGCGGAGATGGAGGCAATACCATAGGTGGAAACACTGAAGGCGGCGGAGTTGGCAATATCCAAGGAGGAAACACTCAAGGCAGAGATGGAGAGAATACCCAAGGTGGAAACACTCAAGGGGGAGATGCAGGTAATACAATAGGTGGAAACACTCAAGGTGGCGGAGTTGGCAACACCCAAGGAGGAAACACTCAAGGCGGAGATGGAGGTAATAAACACTCGTGGAAATACTCAAGGTGGAACAGCGACGGGTAATACCATTGGGGTAACACTCAAGGCGGAGATAGAGGTAATACCATAGGTTGGGGAAAAACCTCCAAGCGGCAGAGTTGGCAACACCCAAGGAGGTAATACATTCAGGTGGAGATGGAGGTAATACCCAAGGTGGGAAACACTCGAGGCGGAGATAGAGGTAATACAATAGGTGAAATACTCAAGGTGGGAACAGGGGGGCAATGCCAATAGGTGGAAAACACACTCAAGGCGGAGATGGAGGTAATACAATTGGTGGAAACACTCAAGGTGGCGGAGTTGGCAACACCCAAGGAGGGAACACTCAAGGCGGAGATGAAGGTAATACCCAAGGGGGAAACACTCAAGGCGGAGATGGAGGTAATACAATAGGTGGAAATACTCAAGGTGGAACAGGTGGCAATACTATAGGTGGAAACGCTCAAGGCGGAGATGGAGGTAATACCCAGGGTGGAAACACTCAAGGCGGAAATGGAGGTAATACAATTGGTGGAAACACTCAAGGTGGCAGAGTTGGCAACACCCAAGGAGGAAACACTCAAGGCGAACACCCAAGGAGGAAACACTCAAGGCGGAGATGGAGGTAATACCAAAGGTGGAAACACTCAAGGCGGAGATAGAGGTAATACAATAGGTGGAAATACTCAAGGTGGAACTGGGGGCAATACCATAGTTGAAAACACTCAAGGAGGAGATGGAGGTAATATCATAGGTGGAAACACTCAAGCCAATGGAGTTGCCAACACCCAAGGAGGAAACACTCAAGGCGGAGATGGAGGTAATAAAATAGGTGGAAATACTCAAGGTGGAACAGGGGGCAATACCATAGGTGGAAACACTCAAGGCGGAGATGGAGGTAATATTCAAGGTGGAAACACTCAAGGCGAAGATGGAGGTAATACAATTGGTGGAAACACTCAAGGCAGAGATGGAGGTAATACAATAGGTGGAAATACTCAAGGTGGAAGAGGGGGTAATACCATTGGGGGTAACACTCAAGGCGAAGATGGAGGTAATACCATAGGTGGAAACACTGGAGGCGGTGGCGTTGGCGACACCCAAGGAGGAAACACTCAAGGTGGAGATGGAGTATGGAGGTAATACCCAAGGTGGAAACACTTCAAGGCGGAAGATGGGCGGTTAATACAAAGGTGAAATATTCAAGGTGGAACAAGGGGGGCAATACCATAGGTGGAAACACTCAAGGCGAGGATTGGATGGTAATATTCAAGGTGGAAAACAACTCAAGGCGGAAGATGGAGGTAATACAATTTGGTGGGAAACATCAAGCAGAGATGGGAGCGTAATACAATAGTGGAAATACTCAAGGTGGAAGGGGTAATACCATTATGGGGTAAACACTCAAGGCGAAAGATTGGAGGTAATACCATAGGTTGGAAACCACTGGAGGCTGTGGCTCGTTGGCGACACCCAAGGGAGGAAACACTCAAGGTGGAGATTGGAGGTAATACCCAAGGTTGGAAACACTCAAGGCGGAGATGGAGGTAATACGTTAGGTGGAAAAACTCAAACACTCAAGGCGGAGATGGAGGTAATACGTTAGGTGGAAAAACTCAAGGCAGTGGAGGTTGCAACACCCAAGGAGGAAACACTCAAGGCGGAGATGGAGGTAATACAATTGGTGGAAAAACTCAAGGCGGTAGAGTTGGCAATACCCAAGGAGGAAACACTCCAGGCGGCGAAGTTGGCAACACCCAAGGAGGAAACACTCAAGGCGGAGATAGAGGTAATACCAAGGGAGGAAACACTGAAGGTTGGGAAGGCGGTAATCAGCACATAGAAAATGAAGGGGATAGAACAGGTTGTCATACCCAAGTTAAAGACTCTCAAAATGGAGGTGGGGTGTTAGCCCATGGTGGAAACATTAAAGGTGGAGGATGGTGGAATCTGCATGGAAGAAGTACTCATGGCAGAGGTTGGATAATACCCAGTAATGGAACATTCATGGGGGATGAGGCAATAATACTCAAGGTGGAGGTTGTGGTAATACTGAAGGAAGAAATACTCAAGGAAGAAATACTCAAGGTGGAGGAGGAGATAATGCATAAAAATGAAATTCATAAGTTGGAGGAGTTGGAGATGCACAAGGATGCAATAAGCAACTTGGAAGAGGTGGTAACACCCAAGGTTGAAATACTCAAAGTGGATGTAGGGGTAATACTCTGTTTGGAATCACTCAAGGTGGAGGATCGACAAATACTTATGGCACAAACACTCAAGGTGGAGGTGGTAGTCATACCTGGGGAGGAAACACTCAAGGTGGGAGTGAGGATTATACCTAGGGAGGATATACTTAAGGTGGAGAAGGGGGGTAATACCCAGGATGGAAACATTCAGGGTGGGGGATGAGGCAATACTCATGGAGGAAACTGTCAATGTGGAGGAGGCTGTAATACATATGGTGAAAACACTAAGGGTGGGGGATTGGGCAATACTCCAAGTGCAAACACTCAAGTTAGATTAGGGTAATGCCCAGGGAGGAAATAAGCAAGGTGAAGTTTCTGATAATTCCAAGCAAGTAATAATCAAAGTAGAACTATGCATTAGGATCAGAAAATTTTTTATCAAATTCAAACACTTCTCATGAGGGTTTAATATAAGTTTGTCTTGTGTTATCTTGCGTGAAAGTTTTCTATGTTTTCATTAATTTGATGGAAAAAAATTTATTTTTTTTTTTACTTTTGGTGAAAGGTGAGGATAATTAATGTGCCTTATTACTCCTAACGTATGACTCACAAAATCATAAGAGTTTAACATTATTATATGAAATAGTAAAACTATTTATTATAAAATAATTTATGGTATATTTAAATTTTAGCGAAAACTTGAAGTTTTCAATTTGTTATTTCTTGAAATAACTATTTAGTTTCCTCCATACCTGATTCTACTCGTTGACTAAATAAGTTCATTGTGCAATTATTTATTGAAATTCTTTATGTGGACAGGACTAGTGAGATTTTTTGGCAAATTTGGCCGAAACACTATAGTCCTAATCATCAAACGCTACCTTGCGCAATAATAGCATTTTGTTTGTCGGTTTGAGTTGCTAAAATTTCTTCCGACGCCGGCTGAAAGGCCTGCTCAAGTATATACAATTCTTGAAAACAATGCTCTACTCATTATACGTTATTACCTGTTATGATTTCGTACACTTTAAAAAATTGGCTATCACCTTATTATGGAAACCTTATACTTGGAAAAATCCTTACAGTGAACCTGTATGTTGCCTTGTTTATTCATTTGATGGCCTTCGTATGTTATGATTATTTCATGGGAAATTTTCATTTTGAATACATCATAGATGCGGGAATGGTGATTGATGATGCACAAGCACACCATACCTTAGCCATCTGATATATAGTAATGACCGAAGAATATATAATATAATATAATAATAAATATAACATTCGAGGTCCTCTTTCTTCGAATGATTTTAGACCATTAGTTAATATAATATAATATAATAATAAATATAACATTCGAGGTCCTCTTTCTTCGAATGATTTTAGACCATTAGTTAATATAATGTTTAATTAGTTAATATAATAATAATATTATTTTGAATATATTGGATAATGCTAATTAAGTGCAAAGAAGACCGCTAATCTTGGCCTTCTTCATCACCCATCTATTTCGACCAGGTAGGCATATTGTACAGTTCCTTTATGCTTGCTATTTATATTGTTTCTCTTTCTCATAAATATATATTTATTTATAGAAATTTCTCATAAATATATTTACAACAAGAAAAAGAAATATTATATTTCACATTATTAGATCAATTACATATTTATCATTTTTATTTTTCTATAATTTTTTTTTTTTTACCTTTATTGCCATAATCCAATTATGTCTAAGGGTATAGAAAAGAAACAAATATCACATATTCCTTTTCTATAATGATAAAGATGAATAAAGAAAAATATTAGGTAACTAATTTTTTAATTTTTTTTTGGACCAATCGTCTATCAAGAAAAGGAACAAGAAAAGAAAAACGACCGACGTTTGTCGGTCGCAAATCGGTCTCAAAGTATACATAGCGACCGATTTTTGCCATTTTGCGACCGATTTGTCGGTCGCAAAATGGCGTTTTTTTTGTGGTGAAAGAAATTAAATATAAGAATATTTATAAATAATATATTTTCAAATTTATAGTCTGGGTTTTAAATAAGAATTTTTTTAATTTAGTTTTATTTAGGGTTTTAAAAGTTTAATTATCTTTGGATATGCCCATTAGATAAGCGCTAATTATTTTGATAATAGATAAAAGTTTAATTTAGCCAATTATAATTTTTTTTTTTTTAATATAGAATTGACGTTAGCTAACCATTTCCTTAATACTTTTGCTACCTATAAGAAAATTTCTTTTTAGTTATCAACTATAACGATAAGAAAATTGCGTTTTAGGAATTGATCCATTTCTAATTAACAACGGGTTAGAAATGAAACTGATCTCAAAATATCACACTTAAGTAATGAACGAATTAGGAACAGATCAGAAACGAATTAGAAATGGAATTTAGAATGAAAATTTCGTTGCTACATATACGTTTCGTTGCTACATTTACGGGAATGGAATGCTTTTTGGAGTCAGATTTAGGAACGTATTAGCAACGGAATTTCGAATCGAGATATAGTCGTTTCTAAAATTCTCAAGCTTCTTTATGGACTTCCATGCAAAGAAACTAACTGACATTATTTATTGCTATACAGTTCCAGTAATATAAAGCTAACTGACATCTACTTGTTTGTATTATAATTGCCAAATGAACATTTAATTTGTAATTTGGACTGGTCTTGAGCTGTGCTTCCTTAAATTCCGATATCTTCATTAATTAATTTTCCTTGAATTTTTTTTATCAGTAAAAATTTTTTTTTATTATTAAAATTCGAAAAAAACTTAACATAGCCAAATATCTAAATCTGGCATCAGACCTTCCCAATACATCACTCCTAGCTTGGAAATATTAAGTGAAAGAAACTTGATAATTTCCCTTGAATTAATGCTTACTCGATTTTCTTTCATAGCAAAGTTATATAAATATAGCATTCAAGATAAAAGCATTGTAAATAAGCCAAACAAACTGTGAATTGCTCGTAATTCAACTCAAGAAAAAATCTATTTGAACTCATTTGATAATTTAACAAGTTAAATTCAAAAATCTATTTGAACTCATTTGATAATTTAACAAGTTAAATTCAAATTTTTTTTTACTGAGTACATTTAATGAGCTTAAACTTTGGAATGAGAGTCCCGAACTAATTCATCAACAAGTTTGATATGGTAAATGACCTTATACAAAATTTAGTTAATTTAGTTTAATGATTTGTTTAATATTTGAAATTTTCAGTTGGATTTGAATTCAAGCTAGTTGGTTCTAGTTTCAGTTTGCTTATTTAAAATTAATATATTTTTCAAAGAAGAACTACAATTCTAATTAAAAAAAAAAAAAAGCAAGGTAAAATTACAAAATACATCATCATTCAAGAAAAATCATCCATAATAACAGTAATAATAACATAAAAGCTGGGTTTGGTTATACCCAAGTAGGCATTCCAAATATGATTAAACCTTAAAATACTAATTTTATTAATATTGCACATCTTTTGGTATTAACAACAATAATTTTTAGGATATTCGGCTTTTACTAGTAATATATTGATTAATTTTCTCATTTTTACTTACACGTTAAGTATTTAATCGATCACATTGACAAGTAATACCTTTTAGTAGAATAATTACCTAAGTTGAAGAATTTAATATATGTTTAATGATTAAATTTGAGGGTGCCATAAGATTTTTAATGAATATATATTGATGTGTAAAAATTTTTGAATTTTTTCTTTATTTTCTATGTTTTGTAAAATAAATATTTAGTAATAATAATTAAATTATACATATTGAATTATTCGAATTGTAACGCTTTATAACAGTTTGGAAAACAATCTGTAAATTAAGTTATTCAATTGATTCATCAAGGATAGAAAGGAGTATCTTGGATGGGATGGCTTTTCCGGATGCCGCAGAAATGAGGCCTCCAATTTTATGTTATAGCCTTCATGCCGTCGATCCAACGATCCTCGTTCTCCCACCTGGCTAGTTGTTACTGTGAACAACAAAGTAACAGAAGCTTCCAGAAACCGTCTATTTTCCTTCTAGGAAGATTCTTTCTTTTTGTCCTATTGAGAGGATGATCCCTCGCCATTGTCTATGGAGTTAGATTTCATTAAAGCAGTAGCATGGGAAGAGATCTCCTAAATCCTCCTTGTGGACGAGCACCCTTCATCTTAAAAAAAAAAAAAGGACTTTAACTAAATGCGAGACAAACTTAATTGCATTTATAATTATTTAAAATAAATTAATGACATTACAATTTCTATAACATGGCAATTTAATAAATTTACCTGTGGAAAAATAAATCTTTTAATAATATACTAAATACGATTCATAAAGTATGATATATAATAAAAAAAAAGCAATTTATGGAAAACATTAATTTTTGATATGCATTTATAAATTATACTTCCTCCGATCTCAAATATTTATCACTTTTAGGTATTTTACGTCCCTAAAATTATTAATTTGTCCAAAGATCAGCATGGCCAACTACAAATTTATTTATATTTATATTTATATTTTATATTATCTAGTACTTTATTTATTAGCTTTCTACTAGATGGTTGTTTTTCTTTCCCTCTTTTTTATTGTTTCATTATAATTTAAAAGATTTTAAATGGACAACTAATAATTTTAATTTTATATTTATTATTTGATTATAGTTTGGAAAGTTTAATTAGAAGAGATATAAGAAAAATAAAAATATATATGTAATTTTTTGTTGTAATATCTATATATCTATATATATTTATAACAAATTAAAATAAACATAATTTATACTATATATAAATGTGCAAATTTTCTGAAATATCTGTAGTCAAATTTGAGTTATCCTGAAATATTTTGAGACGTTACCAAGACAAAAAAATATTTCCTCCCTTAGGATTCCCTCCTTGAGGATTTCCATAACATCCATCTTGAGAGTTTCCTCCCCGAGTATTCCCATAATCTCAACCTTGTGTGTTTCCTCTATGGGTATTCCCACAACCTCTCTGGGTATAGATAATTATTTAAGATAGACCAAGACCATATATAAAATGTCACCATTAAAATACATTTGCGAACTTAGGAAACTAATCGTAAATGTATAATCATCTTCTCAAACCAACTTAATCTTAATTTTCCTATACTTTACTGGTAAACTGGCGGGAGTTATTACCGCTAGAATTAGCAACCGATATTCATGCGGTCGCAATTCCGTTGCTAAATTTGTTGCAGTTTGATCGTAAATCCATCGGTGAATGTTAAATCTCTATTACTTCAACATTCATCGCAATTGGTCGCAACATCATCGCAATATTGCGACCAACGTACATCGGTCGCAAAAGCACATTTTTTTTGTAGTGATTAGTTTAGAAAGACGTGTAATATTATTAAAATTTACAAGTTCAAATACATAATAGGTTATCCTCAAAGTTCAAAATGCTACAAGGTTAAAATTTCAAAGTATGTATTTAGCATATTTCTAACCTTGTCAAGTATAGCAAATTTCACTTACCTTTTCAATAAATCAATCATCATTTTTAGGAATGAGACTAGTCCTTATATAGTTACTATTGAAATTTAATTACATAGAAATATCATATATAGAATTAGAAACATAAAATTATTTCACTAGAAATAGTATTGCATAAATTAAAGATCACTTATGCAAAGTATACAAACAACATTAAAGCTTTTATTATTTTGTGAGTCATACATTAGGAGCAATCATGCTTCTAACTATCCTCACCTTTCACACAGAAAAACAAGCACCGATTATTCCCTTACATAATATAATATGACAAGCGCTTGAATTTGATTAAAAAGTTTTTGGGATACTAATGCTGATGTCCACTTTAATTAATTCATTTTTGGCACTACGAAAAATTCCATCTTGAGTGTTTCTGTCATGAGAATGTCCAGCTCCAGCTCCGCCTTGAGTGTTCCCACTCTCCCCGCCTGAGTGCTACTGCTCCTGCTACCTCCACCCTGAATGTTTCCAACCTTAGTGTTACCGCTTTTTCCACCTTCAATGTTTCCGACCTTAGTGTTACCGCTTTCTCCACCTTCAATGTTTCCGACCTTAGTGTTACCGCTTCCTCCACCTTCAATGTTTCCGACAGTGTTACCGCTTTTCTCCACCCTTCAATGTTTCCTATCAATGTTTCCGACCTTAGTGTTACCGCTTCCTCCACCTTCAATGTTTCCGACATGAGTGTTACCGCTTCCTCCACCTTCAATGTTTCCGACGTCAGTGTTACCACTTCCTCCACCTTCAATGTTTCCGATATTAGTGTTACCGCTTCCTCCACCTTCAATGTTTCCGACGTCAGTGTTACCGCTTCCTTTACCTTGAATGTTTCCGACGTCAGTGTTACCGCTTCCTTCACCTTGAATGTCTCCGATCTTAGTGTTACCACTTCGTTCACCTTCGACCTTAGTGTTACCGCTTCCTCCACCTTGAATGTCTCCGACCTTAGTGTTACCGCTTCCTCCACCTTGAATGTCTCCGACCTTAGTGTTACCGCTTCCTCCACCTTGAATGTCTCCGACCTTAGTGTTACCGCTTCCTGCACCTTGAGTCGACATTGTTTCACTCGGAACTTGTTAGAATGTTTTGATGAAATATTTTTGTGTCTTGGCAAGAGACTTGTGAATCCTTATATACGCATATCGGAAATGAAGCGTGATTTAGAAAATTGTTACACTATTCATTGCTGATTAGGTGACAGGTATAACTAATTATTTAAGATAGACCAAGACCATATATAAAATGTCAACATTAAAATACATTTGCAGACTTAGGAAACTAATCGTAAATGTATAATCATCTTCTTAAACTAACTTAATCTTAATTTTATTATACTTGATTGGTAATTAATTACCACCCCATAATTAATTGTGACATTACAGTTTATTTGAATCAAGAAAAATAGGCAGAGTCAATGAGAAGAAAAAATAGAAAAAAATAAAAATGAAAAAAGACTGAGAGAGTGTGTAATAAAAAGACTTTGTATATTAAAAAGTAAAAAAAAAAAAAAAAAGACTGAGAAAGTGCCTAACAAATATATAGTTTTTGTAAATGAGGTGTGGTCTAGTTGATTTTCTTATTTATGTGTGGAGTTAGAAATCTCGAGTTTGAGTCATCTTGACCACAAGTGCTTTCATAAACTTGGTGAGTACAAAAGAGTGCTACTCCTGTAGTGTTATTTCGATTTATTGAACCTCTCAATAAATCAAAAAAAATATATAAATAAAATTGGTAAAATGATTAGTTAGAGTCGTTATCAGAATTAAATTCAATATCTTTTCAAATTCGTGAAATTATACAAAAACCAAGTGTAAAACAAGTAACTACGAGCCTCATTGCTCATATTGTGTTGCTACTCACAAAATAACAAGACTTTTAATGTATTTTGTGTACTTTACATAATTGATCTTCAGTTTATGCTATAATATTTTAAATGAAGAAATTTCGAGTTCCTATTACTCATCAAGTATTTACTGCTATTAGTTTTGACATTATATAAGAAATTGGCTTATCAAATATTTTATGAACTTCTTAATTAGTTAATTGGGTCAATAATAGGGAATTTTTCGGTGAATCTATTTAACAATTATCATATATAAGACATAAAGTTGAATATGAATGGCATAAATATTTCTCTATGATTTATAGTTGATTATGCTTGTATAATAACTCATGCAATATTATCTAGATCGTTGTATACTCTCTCTGTCCCAAAATATAAGTAGTTTAAAGTCTTTGCACTAAATTGCTATACGCTATCTCTATCCCAAAATATAAGTAGTTTAAGGTTTTTGCATGAGGTTTAAGAAATTAATTAATTCTATTAAATTACGATAAAAGAAAGAGTAAATCAACCATATTACCCTTAATTTCAAAACTAAGGGTAACTTATGAAGATGATTATTATATCTAATATAGGAAAATGTATTATTGAAAAGCTATAATTTATTACTCCTTAAAAATACTCAAAACGGCTTATATTTTGAGACAAAACAGTCACAGTAAAACAACCTATATTTTGGAATGGAGGATGTAACCCAATGTTACACTAATTGTTCAAAGACTAGTCCAATTACTAATAATTAAGAATAATTAAGGTAATTATTGAGTTGAGTTGAGTTAAGAATTAGGAATAATTATTGTTCAAGGACTAGTCCAGTAAAAGGTGGTTTGTTTTGAACTAAATTCTAAATGTTGAATATTTTAGAAGTTAGAACCATTTAACAAATGTTTGAATTTAAAAGTCTACTAATAAATGCTACCTAATGTTTATTTGTTTGTACTAGAATAAATCAATGAAAAAAGTTTTTTTTTTTTTTTTATAATAGAGTAAAATGGGAGAAATTTTTTGTTTAAATTTTATTGTGATTGATTTATCCGTAGATTATAATAGAGTAATGTCAAATCATTATTTTTTGTATAAATTTTTATCAACGAATTATAATACAAACAATAAATAATGAATTATAATTTATAGTTTTTTTTATTTGGTTTGACAATTAATGGATTCACATTTAATACAAACAATAAATAATGAATTATAATTTATAGTTTTTTTTATTTGGTTTGACAATTAATGGATTCACATTTAAGAATACAAACAAGTCTACATTAGGTCGTTATTCATTAGTGGATTTTTAAATCTTAGTTAGCAATAAATTAAAAAAAAAAATAAGGACTTGTTAATATGTAAATACAGATTTAGATAATATGATAAATTGAAAATTTTATTGCATTTTACTAGGAAAGTGCAACTTTCTTAGTCATCCTAAGGAAGTTACTTCCTTGTGAAAGGGAAATTGGATGACCTATTTCCTAAAAAATAGAATCGAGAATATAAGTTAAACACAAGCATTTCACGCACTTCCCGAAAAATTGCACTTTCTTAATCTACTTACCCCAATCAAAAATTGCACTTCTTAATCTACTTACCCCAATCAAACATCACCTAATTCTTATTTTCTGCAAAGGTTAACTTAACGAAGTCTTTTTTTAATCATTAACAAAGTATTAATTCTCCTAAATTATAACAAAATCAAGTGTAATTTAATTAAATTACTCTTTGTCTTAAAACCAAAATTTGAACAATTCACCAGCTATTGGATACGAAATACTAGCCATTAGATACGAAACAGCTATCAACTGTATAAATAAGTTAAACCAAACCTCGTCTTAAACAATAATAGTATTTGATAATGTTAATAATTGAACATTAATATTATTGATATATAAAAGAATAATATATGTATATTGAAAGATATTAGACTTCTAAATAAATTCTAACTAACAGATAAACTAGAATTTCTATTATCATTATCCAACCATAATTATCTCTCCACTAATATAAATATTCTCAATTAAGCGTACAAGGGGCTAATTCAAAATTCACAATTATTTACTCTTCAAATTCTTAGAGTTTAACAATTGGTGCGGGGAGCGTGGAACGTACCTTCTATAGTAACACTACACGAATATTGAAGCATAGCTTCCCTAAAAGAAATATAAAGATAAGATTTACTCTACATATTTTTTTCATTAATATATATATATATTTATATTACTTTGTTTTCAATGTGCGCGTTCAAAAGATGAAAGAATCATGTTCCATGAAGTTCCTCAGAGAAGCATTGTGTCATGGACCTCGATTACTACTGGGGTGCGGATTAAATGGTCGATGGGCTGATGCAATTACAGGTTGAATTTCCAGTATTCCGAGATCAGCCTCAACTGCCTACACTCTTGGGAACCTTGTATCATACTCAATTTGGAAGGCTTCCATTGGTGGATAAATTAACATCACTTCCTCTAATGGTTGCAGGTAGTACAATAAAATGGAGGTCAATAAATTCGGACTTAAGCGATCTATAAACAGTCCATCAGACTGGACATAACTAATTCTCCAGTTTGACCTTAAGATGTCCATAAATAGTCCATCAGTTCGGACATAATTAAATTCTCCAGTTTGGACTTAAGCGGTCCATAAACGGTCCATCAGTTCGGACACAACAAATTCTTCAGTTCGGACTTAAGCGGTCCATAAACAGTCCATTAGTTCGGACACAGCCAATTCTCCAGTTTGGACTTAAGCGGTCCATAAACGGTCCATCAGTTCGGACACAACAAATTCTTCAGTTCGGACTTAAGCGGTCCATAAACAGTCCATTAGTTCGGACACAGCCAATTCTCCAGTTTGGACTTAAGCGGTCCAGTTTGGACTTAAGCGGTCCATAAACAGTCCATCAGTTCGGATATAAACAGTCCATCAACTCGAACTTAAACAGTCCAACAGCTCATACTTAAGCAGTCCTCAATACAACGGACTTAAGCAGTCTTCAATAAATTCGAGCTTAAAGAAGTTCACAGCGAGCTGAAGCACCTCAACATTTAAACAGATTCAATTCACTTATTCGGACTTAAATCAGTCCATTCATTCCAGATTTAAGTAACTCAACCACAACACTCTACCAACTATAACATTTATTGCACATAAATGACCAACATCTTTTGGGACTCCTGATAATATTAATTATTGAACATTAATATTATTGATATATAAAAGAATAATATATATATGAAGAATATTAGACTCCTAAATAAACTCTAACTAATAGATAAACTAGAATTCCTACTATCTTTATCTAACCATAATTATCTCTCCACCAATAGAAATATTCTTGATTAAGCCTGCAGGGTGTTAATTCACAATTTAAAATTATTTACTCCTCATATTATGAGAGTTTAACGGCATTAATAATTTTTTTAATTATATAATATTCCAAAATAATTATTAAAAAGTTCTCGAATAAAGGGTAGCATGACAATTGGATCATGAGCATAATTTTTAACGTTTCTGTAAAGGATCTATAATTCATTATTAATCTTAAAAGTATATAAAATATATAATCCGGTAATAAAACAACCTATGCATTGCTGGCTTTCTCCTAGTTAGGTTCTAATTCCATTAACATACACTCTCTCATTCCATTATATTTTTTTTATTAACTATTAATATATATCTTTATTTTTTATACTAATAAAATTAAAATCCTTAAGGCTATTATAGTTTTACTATATTTAATATATACCTTATTAGTACTATATAATATAAATTTTTTTATTCGATAAAATTTAAATTTAAATAAAAAATTAATATAGCCAATCAAAATAAAATTATATTTATTTTTCAACCAATAAAATTAAAATCCTTCAAAATATTTTCGTTAATCTATAATTTAGTACGAGTGTTTTCGGTAATTCTAATACTTCAAGTCTATCTTCATTCTTTCTTAAATTATTTTAACAATTATTTCTCCGCCCACGCTTGTATTGAAATGGTATTAAATTAAAACACTCACAACAATAATAGCTCCCTATTTATCTCCAAATTTTTATTAATACACCTAGAACTAATATTGCTTAGTTATTAGAATAGTGTATTGTTTTAAATTAACTAGTTAAAGCTATTTTTTTCTTATTTTTGAAGTTATTTGAAAATTTGATACCAATGGAGATATAGTTAATTATTATAGTTTAGACAAAAACATTAACTACAAATGTGAACGTTAAAAATCTGTTAGTATTATATTAAGATTGGATAAAAGGCAATTAATGCTTT